GGGAGCCGCAGCCCCAAACCCAGGCGCTGCTCAGGACCCCGCTGTAAATCAAACACCCCCACGCTGGTGTGACTGACCCTCGGGGGAGCCGCAGGCTCAACCTCCTGCCCAGAGGAGTCAAGAACCGGCGCCCGCGCTAACGATACCCACGGTCTCGCAGCAGTTAACGGCTTTATATAACGCTGAGGTTTGGCGGGCAGGAGTTGAAGATGGCACTGCAGTTTTCCTTTAAGTAGAGCAAATTAGGTTAAAAAAACAAAAATCCACTAAAAGCATATATATGTAACCCTCTAACCCTATCCTTACTGCCAAAACGTTACGGATTGTATGCTTTTCTTAAGAACAAACCCAGGCACAGGCTGCGTTTGAGCTGTCACACGAACCCATGTGTCGGTGTCACCACCATGGCGTGGAAGCAGCTGTTGATCCCCGCTCCAGTCCTCGGGGTCGGCAGGGGCAGCCCCGCCCCAGCGAACAGGCAAGAGAAACGGAAACACTTGAACGTGGATCCCCGTTTGTTCCTAAAGCAGCGGCTGTTTCCGTGGGGAAGGAAGCACATCGTTGATTCAGTGAACGGGTTTAGGTCGTTGGGAACGGTCACGTGCACGTGCCTCCTTCGACCCCAGCCGAGGCTTTGTAAGCGTTCACATCCCGTACACTGGCTTTCACAGTTCCCGGGGGGCTGATCCTCACGTGGAACAAGGCCCACAGAGCGCTTCACCTGCTTCGTTCTGGATGTTCTGGAGCATTCCCAGCGCTGCTTTGCTGGAGCTCTGCCTACAGAACCTCGCGTGCTGCCGAGCGAGCGGGAGCGCGCTCACCCCCATCTACCTGGCGGGGGCTGGTTTGACTGAGAACCTGCAGCCCAAAGGGTCGGGACGAGACCTCATCTGCAGGGGCAGCGCTTGTTCTGGGTTCGCTGGGCACCGCGTTCTTCTCACCCCCAGGCACACGCTGCTCGACCCCTCCCTGGCTGTAGCCAAGTTCCCGCAAACGCAGCGGCAAAACGCTCTGCGTTTTCAGTTAGAAAAAACCGATGGAGAAGCGAACGCGTTTCCCACCCCCCAACCCCTCCCAGTCCCTCCGTCCGAAGGGGCGGGAATCGATAAACACACGTATATGGCTGCGTTAAAATACACGGAGTACAAACCGAGTTTGCTATTATCCGCTGGCAGAAGAGGCGAAGGAGCAGTTACACAAATTACACAAAATCTACGGCAATTCTTACATTACTATAAAGTGATTTCACCGGCGGAATTATGTCAATAGTTCACATTACGGTTACGATAGGAGGGGCGCGTCACACGCTCCGACACCCCCGTTAATGTCATCTATCCTAGGCTACACACGACAGTTTGAAGAAAGGACCCTTAAATGATCTACATCTGTAACATGTTATTGGCCTTAAAAAAAAAAAAAAATCACTTGCAATACCTCGCAGAATCCTCACTTTAAAGCGCGACCACCGCGTCAGAGTCCTGTCAAATAACCTGCCGAACAATGGAGCGTCTCGCTGCGGGTGCTCGGCCCTCGCACGTGCGTGACCGGGCACCAGTCGGTGTCATCGGAGAAAAGCGGTTCAAGTAAGACTACGCTGTGCCGGCGGCTGGCGCCCCCGCGGCGCTTCATGTGCTCGAGGTCCACACGTGCATCTGTTTGGCTATTTGGTGCACGTAACCGATGTCAGGTCTCTGGTCTGGATCGGGGTATATGCACATGCTGACCAGCTCCCGCAGCTGAAAGAGAGAACAGGCCAATGTGAACAAATCCACTGACTTCTGAATCATAGAGTCATAGAATGGTTTGGGTTGAAGGGACCTTAAAGATCATCCAGTTCCAACCCCCCTGCCACGGGCAGGGACACCTTCCACTAGACCAGGTTGCTCCAAGCCTCATCCAGCCTGGCCTTGGACACTTCCAGGGATGGGGCATCCACAGCTTCTCTGGGCAACCTGTCCCAGTGCCTCTTCTTACCGGGAGAGGCTACAGGAAGGTGTGTCTGAGCGCTGGAGGCCAGGAGCTGGGAACCCGCCGTGCAGACATTCCTGGGCAGCCCGCAGGAGCATGTCCGTCTGTCCCTGCCGTGTCCCACCCCCCCAAAACGGGATCGTTGGAAGTCTGGGCGAGCTGAAAGGCAGGGATGGACTTCCCAGGGCAGCGGGCTCTGAGGAAGGGGGAAGTCGAGGGAGGGGTTCAAAACCGCGTCCTGAACCCAGCCGGCCTGTGGCACCGCAGCACCACCTGCCAACCCCCCAGCAAGCCCGGTCCAGGTCTCTACTGGGCAGAGGCTGAACGGCACTCGCGTATCCAGATGCTGGGCACAGCTGCCGGACACCAGCGTTCCCTAAAAACCTCTGTGAAGGAGAAAGGCTGGTCATTGATTAGTTTAATACATAAAATGCAGAAGGGCTGAAGCCTCCCCACCTCCCAGCCCTCTTTATTGTGCACATGAAAGATTGTAGCTTTTAATTATACAGACACTGAAAGCTGCTCCTACCCCCGAGGCACCGGGAGAAACAGCCCTGAGCCTCTGATCTTCTCACATCCTCCCAGTAGCCACCGTGCCAATTATTTTAATGGTAATTAAAAGCATGACCATACAGCTCTCGAGCACACGGCTTCAGCTGCATTCCTGGTGCACCCAGTGGTTTCCAGCTCCGGGTGGAGCGAAGCCCCACGGTTCCAGCTGTCACGGGGCCAGAGCAGGGATGGGCGCGGGGCGGCGGGCAGCTCAAGGGACAAGGCCTTGCCCACCACCCTGTGGGCACGCTGAGGGCAACACAAACCCCCAGCCAGGAATTTTCTGGCGCAAACCCAACTCTGCTGCCTGGCCCTGGCCATTCTCTCATAATGGCTATGGGGACTTGTTTTTTTAGGGCAGGGGGCTTCTGCCTTTGTAACTGCCGAGACCCCAAGGATTGAACACGTCCCCCAGCCCTGACCAGACCGACCACTGCAAAACAGCCACAAACAAATCAAAATGCTTCCAGAGCCCTGACCAGAGCCCGCGCATCCGTACCGTTTGTCCAACCAGCCGCCGGGCTCCCAGGCGAACGCAGCGCTCAGAGCACAGCGCGGGAAGCTCCGTCCTCTGCTGAGGGCCGGGACAGCGCAGGCGTTTCCCCAGCATCCAGGAGGAACTGGCAGACCGAGCCTGGATAAGCAGTGCCAACCAGTAGCTCCAATTACTGGCAAATTTGTTCCCGATACAGAAAACTAATCCTGGCTGGAGCCCCAGCCCCTCCTCCTCCAAGCAGCACGCCAGTTGATCAGGGACCTGGCTGGGTTAGCCACAGGAGGCTACGAAGAAGAGGAACATCACGGCAAGGGAACACCCTGGAAGCCGCGTTCCTCAGTAAACACTCCGCCTTGTTTGTCTAAAGCAAGGCAGCAACTGGAATATTCATGGCATCAGCAGTCAGCCTGCAGCTGAAGCTTCGCTTCCAGCCCGCATTTCCGAGGCGAAGGAAACGTGCCGCTGGCTCCGGAGCATCACGGAAAACTCCGGTAGCGCGGCATGGCCTCACCCCTGCCCGTGGGGCAGGGATGTAAAGGCTTCGCTGCCTTCCCACATCGCTGCAAACCTGCGGCAGTGACGATATCGGAGCGGCCGTCAAGGCTCTGCTCTTCCAGCCACACGGAGACGTTCGCTCCTGAAGGAAAACACGTACATCCAGACCGAGGTAACCACCGGCCGTGGGAAGAACAACCTTGCTGCTGCAGGCAGCCGCCGCGACGCTTCCGGCCTTCCAGAAACACGCCCCTGCCCGCACGCTTTACCCGGCCTGGCTGCTGGGAGACACCGACACACCCTGCCCTTCGGCCACCCGCTCCAGAAGCATCTGGAAATCCAATCTTTACAAATCGGTACCGAACCAAGTGGTGGTGGAGTCACGTTCTAACATGCACGAAATCGAAGCTCTTCACGGCTTCAGTCAGAAGCAGCAGCGCGTGCAGCGAGCTGAGCTACAGCCAACGGCACAGCCCTCCGCAGCCTTCGTCAAGCATTCTGTTAATAGTGCATGAACACCATCTGGAGTCTGGTTCTCTGGGACGTGGCGCCTTTGAGCTTGAAACCATCCTTCTCACCCTGGATTGTATCACTACACTACACACACTCTTTAGCACTGCCAGAGGGAAGCAAACAGACAGTAATTGTAAAGACAGGAAACACATCTGTCAGCTTACACTAATCCCTGCTGCCAGCAGGCATACCCTGAGACACGTGCTACAACAGCACGGCAGACGGGAACGCGGGGCCAGGACGCACTGCTACGGCGGGTTGGGGGGGGGAAATAATTTAAAAATCCCCTTTTTGAGAACATTCTCAAATAAAGTTTTTGCATGAGGTACACAGGAAGTAAGGGGGGAAAAAAAAAAAATCAGTGAAATGTAAAACGTGTGGCCCAGGGTCCCTCTCGGGGCGGGACCAGACCCTCTGCATGCAGCATTTCCCCGGCATCCTGCCTCGTGCCCCTCTGAACTCTGAGGTAGAATAAAACAAAGGAAAAGCCCCAAAGGATACGGTGAACAGTTAAAATTACATTCGCCGTTTCCTTTCAAATAGAAGGCAACTGCAGCTGAATGAGGAGGTGAGGAAAACCAGCAGGTTTGTCGAGGTAAGGGGCAAAAGGCCCTGAACCAAAGCACCACGGCCGAGCCAGCAGGCAGAGTGGCAGTTTTTTCTATGCCCCACTGCAGGCACTGCTCTCTGTCCCGCTGTCACACGCACAAACCCCAGACTCCAAAAGGCCCCGGAGAGCTGGTGTAGAAATGCTTATTGCATGACACTAAAGAAATTCCCTCCGCTCCCCGTCGTCTTCTTAAAAATCATCTTTCCCCCCTTGTTGCACACTGAGGACTTGTTGCACACTGAGGACGTCACATGAACACAGATTTAAGTGCTGTTTTATGGAATGTTATTTTAAGGAAAAGAGGCAAAGGAGAGGTCTTTCCCACGGCTCACTGTTGGGTTTTACCAGCGGAACAGACTTTCAGTTTCCAAACATTCCCCACATTCAGAAACCCCCTCTTCCGTCTCAGTGTAGCTTGCCAACAGTCAGACATCGCAGCCACCGCTTCCTTAGCCAGCCACAAAGGTCCCCAGGACACCCTGGCCATCCCCAGTCCCACCTGGCACGCGGGGCTTTCCGTCCCCCACGCGTGCGGAGGAACTTCGCTGCCCCCCGACCCGCCCCCGCAGAACCGCTCCTGGTTACCTTTTCAGAATAATGTTCAGCTGGAAGAGGTGGGTAGTCACATTGCTCTATCTTTTGGCAAAGAGAAAACAGATTCATTTTATCTCCGTAGAAAGGACTCTGAAGAGCTGCCATCTGGAGAGAAAACACAGAAAACATCTCAGAAACATGAAGGGCGTAAGAGCCCTCCGTCCTGCTGATCCACGAGAGCAGACCGTGTTCTTGACAGCGAGCAAGGGACGGTGTCGCTCCGAGACTGTCCGCAGACGGAGCT